CTTGCCCTCTCTAGTTGTGAGGCATTGGAGTCATTATTACCTGATCTGATGATGAGGAAGATGGGCGGAAGCAACAGTAATAGCACTGACATGTTGAGACTTGAAGAGTTAGAACTTTGTGGTTGTCCTTCTCTCAGGTCATTATCCTTGCTCATCATAGTTAAGCGGTTGACAATAAGAGGATGTGAAAATCTTGAGTCTCTACCGAATGGAATACTGATGCAAGATGATAGTGACAACAACAGCAATCTTGAATATTTATATATAAGGGAACTTCCATCTCTAAATTCTTTTCAGAGGGGTCAGCTGCCAGCTTCTCTCAAGGAATTTGAAGTTCAGAATTGCGAGGGGTTGGAATCTATTTCAAAGGGAATGCTGCATCAATGTACAGGACTTAGATCCATTCAAATTCGTAATTGTCAAAGGTTGAAAGGCTTACCTAGCCTTGATTGCCTCAGCAATCTCATTGAATTAAGCATTATCAATTGTCACGCTTTAGAGTCCATCCCAAATCTGGGCTTATGCATCCCCCATCTCAAGTTTTTGGCAATATTGAGTTGTAAGAATCTCAAGTCCTTGCCAAATACTACGATGTCGCAGCTGAAATCACTTCAGGCGCTATATATAACTGATTGTCCAAACATAGAGTTGACTCTGTCTCCAGGTGGGAATGAGAATGGGGGTTTACTTTTAGATTTACCCCCAAACTTAACAAGTGTTTGGTTAGACGAAACAATTCTCAAGTTCCTACTACCAAATACGACTCAAAAACTATCCAATCCAGTTCCAGATGGGCATTTGGCAACGGTGGCGGGATGCGGCCTCCACAACCTTACCTCTCTTCAAAACTTGTCAATTAGTTGTCGGACATGGCCGCCGGATATTGTGCTGCCTTCTTCTTTAACCAGTCTTGAGATCAGAGATGTTGAAAATCTGGAATCAATACCCAGAGAGCTCCTCCAAAACCTAAACTCTCTTCAATGGAAGGCTTGATCAACTGCCTTTTCTTATCTTATATATATTAACTATTCTATGCAGGTATTCCCATAGGATAGCACTGCAACCATTTCTTAATTACTTGACTTAAATCTTTAACGAACTGATCCAAATCCTACAGTCATAATTACTTCAGGTAGAGTTTTTACTTTCTTTAATTTCATGAATATTTCCAGATGCAACTATACTCAATGTTACTCCCACATCGTTCTATTCTACTTAATTTTTTTGGATAATAAAGTTCATCTAAATAACAAGAGAACCATTTCATTATGAGGATATTCTGTACTACTACTTCATCTTCATAAAGCTA